CAGCAGTATTTTAGAGGCAAAGGCAGGAAGTTAAGGGTACATTAAACAGCATGGGGTACATTTTAAAAAAAAAAAAAGACGAAGTATTTCAAGTAATGCTATTTTGGGACAAAGAAAACAGACTTTTCTACAGAAAACAGAATTTTCTGCTACTCTGGGTGACAGGTCAACTAGCATGTTCTTCATGGAGTCCATGATCCTGCAAAGGAAGGCTGTGACTGAAAGCAGAGAGAAGCTAGACAAATAAAGATGAGCCTGAAAAGAACGGACTCTGGGAGACCAGCGTGTCTCATATGAGGGAAAAGCGAGATGAACCTAAGAGCTCTAATGTCACGTGGGAGAAGGAACTAGGTGTGCTCTTGCTCCAGACAGAGGCACGTTCAGGGTTAGCATTCAGAGCCACCAAAGGGAGATGTGCATGCTAAAAAGGTAACATAACAGATACACACACACTCCCTAAAACACAAGAAATAGAGATTACAATCTTAGGACATACCAATAAAACACCCTTTCAAAAAGGTCAGAAAAACAGTAAAAACTACAAGCCAGGTATGGTTGTGCACACCTATGATTCCAGCACTTAAGAGGCAGAGGCAGGAGGATCAAAAGTTCCAGGTCATTGTCAGCAATTCCGTAAGTTTAAAGTCAGCCTGGACTGCATGGATCCCCTAACAAAACAAAACAAAACACAGGGTCCATGGCCTGGCACTTAAGAACACTCACTTCTCTTTCTGAGGCTGGAGCTCAATTCCTAGCACCCATTTCAGGCTGCTCACAAATGTCTTTTAACTCCAGTTCCAGGGAGTCTGATGCCCTCTTCTGGGCTATGTAAGCACTGCAGCACAGACATACACGGGTGCAAGTACACGCAAAATAAAATAAATCTTAGAAAGAGAGAGAAAGAAAAAAAAGAAAGAATCAGGACAGAGTCAGGATCAATGGCACAAGCAGAAGCATACACAGAAAATACAAAATAGATTGGTATTAAACAACCACTATAAAAATATGTGAAATAAAGTTGGCAGTTAAAACATAGATACAGTGGTTGGAGAGGTGGCTCGGTGGTTAAGAGAAATTACAGCTCTGGCGGAGGACGTGAGTTCAGTTCTAGTACCCACACCAGGCAGTTCATGGTGCCTGTAACTCCAGTTCCAGGGCATCCAACATCTTCTTCTGGCCTCTGTGGGCACTGGCATGCACACAGCACACATACATGTTTGTAGGCACTCATATATACAGAAAAAATTAAAATAAATCTTTTTAAAAAGAAAACACAGATACAGTTTGAATATAAAGGCATATGCTATTTGAGAAAATAATACAGAAAAATGCAAAGACAGGGGGGGAAAAAAGCTTAAAAATAAATTCAAGCCAGGCGGTGGAAATCCACATCTTTAATCCCAGCACTCAGAGGCAGAGGCAGGAAGATCTACGTGACTTCAAAGGAGTTCCAGGACAGCCAGGGCTACACAAAAAAAAAAAACTGGCTGATCTTCCAGAGGACCAGGGTTCAATTCCCAGCATTCACAAGGCAGCTCAAAACTACCTATAACTCCAGTTCCATATGATCTGACCCCCTTATACAGACATGCATGCAGGTAAAACACCAATGTATATAAAATAAAAAATAAATAAATAATATTTTAAAAAGTAAAGAAAGAAAATAAAAGAAAGCTTTAAAAATTTAACAGCCAACTCCCCCAGGCCAGATAAAACCAGGATAGCTGTTATTCAGACAAGTTAGATCTCCAGATCAAAATCATTATTGCAGAGATAGGAAAGATAAAAATTAAAGTTATTAAAATGTATAAAAAAATGTAAGATATGTGTGACTATGTAAAATTTATAGAAATATAAGGAGATACTAGAAAATGTTTAATCTCATTAACAGCTGTGCATAATGACACATTTGTGTCACCTAGCACCTGGGAGGTGAAGGCAAGAAGATCTCTCTGAGTTTGAGGCCAGCCAAGGCTACACAGTAAGACTGTGTTCTGAGAGAGAGGGAGAGAAGGGAGGAGGAGAGGTGAGAGGGGAGGGGAGGGGAAGGAACACTAGTTTTAAAATCCACTGACAACAGCCGACATCTATCACGGTGCGGTGGTGTGCACGTGAAATGACAACACCGGAGGCAGAGGCAGGAGAAGAGGAGCTCGTGGTCGTCTCCGGCTGGATAGTGAATAAATAAGGAACTGCCTCAAAAGCCAAAAAGGGAAATAACGTAGTATGTCCAAGAGGCAGATGCACACCCACGTTCACTGCGGCATTATTCACCACGCCCACGCTATGGAATAATCAACCTAACTGACCACCCACAGATGAATGAATAAAGAAAATGTGATGCACAGAAAATATCCATATAAAAATGATGGAATGTTAGCCTTTACAGAGAACAAAATCCTGTTACTTGTGACATGGATGAGCCTTAATCTAAGTAAAACAATCCAGAAAGAGATAGACGAACGCTGTAGGATCTTACTTATATATGAACTCAAATGAAAAAGTGCAGTAATAACTCATAGCAGCAGAGGCTAGGCTGGGAGCCACCAGGCACTGGGGTAGGAAGGGAACAGGAGACACAGGTTTAGAGAAGAGGACTAGGTCCTGGGCCTACTGCACAACAGTGGTGACTACTGGTACCAGGAACACACTGCACGCTTGGAAGCTGCTATGAGAGGAGCCCTATAACACTGTCTCAGAAGATGAGAAATGTGTTAAAATAGATACCATTGTAGTGTGAGTAAGAATGGCCCCCAAAGGCTCACAGCTGTGAATACTTGGTATCCAGTTGGTGAAACTGTTTAGGAAGGATTAGGAGGTTTGGCCTTATTGGAGGACGTGTGTCACTGGAGGGATGGGCTGAGGACTCATATATGCTCAAGCTATACCCAGTGTAGGACACAGTCTCCTCCTGCTACCTGTGCATGTTGAACTCAGCTCCTTCTCCAGCACTACGTCTGCCTGCATGCCACAATGTTACCCACCATGAAGACAATGGACTGGACCTCTGAATTTAATTAAATGTTTTCCTTATAAGAGTCGCCATGGTCATGTTGTCTCCACATAACAATAAAATCCTAACTAAGACACACATAAAGAAATTTTAACATATTTCCATCAGGAAGTAGTAGGCAAAACAAACAAAAATAAAGAAGCAATGAATTCATATTAATACAAACAAACAAATAAATGGAAAGTTGTTCAGAGAAAACAAGTTCTTTGCACAGTTTTAAAGTTTACTTAGAGAAAACTGCAATTCCAATCAAGTGATTCACATAACATCACCAGTAATGGGACATAGCAAAACTGTGCACTCCTCATCAGAATTCAATAAAAATATAGCATCAGTGATAGTCCAAATTTACAAAACCTTGCTCATAAACATTAGCAAGCAAAGCCCTTGATTAAATCTGTAGCATCACAAAAAATAAAGAACAGATCATGAAGTCAAAGAATGCCTACAGAAGTACTCCACAGTGTACCCAGCACCAACATGCAGGCTAACTGTCCATAACTCCAGTTCAAGAGAATCCAATGCTCTCCTCTGACCTCCTTGGGCACTGCACACACTTGGTGCATAGCAAGCAAAACACCCACACAAATAAAATAAAAACAAATAAAAATTCTTTAAATCACAAACACTTAACACATGCAGAACTACAGCTAAAGTCTTAAATTCATATTTCTACAGCACAGAAAATATCAACTATTCCTAGCTCATCTTATACATCCTGAAATCAAAAAAATAGTACTGAAATTTGAAAATTAAATTTTACTTATAAACAAAGGAATGAAACAACTAAACAAAATATTACCAATGTGCCTGGCATAGTGGCACACCTGTTAACACGATCTAAAAGCAGAGGCAGGAGGATGGAAAGTTCAAGGCTAATCTGTACTACATAGTAAGCTTCTGCCTCAAGAAGGAGAGGAAAAAGCAACAGTAGCCTGAGTGTGATGCATTAAAGGATCTGCATGTTAATCCTAGCACTCAGAAGACAGATGCTCTGGGAGTTCAAGGCCAGTAGGTCTACACATCAAGTTACAGTGTAGGTATGTTACACACACACACACAAAACAATAGGATCCACTGCTTTTATACATATTCAGAATGGCACGTTAAAATAAGGAGGGTTAGAGAGGCTAGAGAGATGGTTCAGTGATTAAGAGCATTTGCTGGTCTTGCCAAAGTCCCAGGTTAGATCCCCAGCACCCACTGGTGGCTTACAATCATTTATAACACTAATTCCAGAGGATGCAATGCCCTCTTCCAACTTCTCAAGATACCAGGCACACACAGGTGCACAGACATACATTCAGGCAAAACACACATACACATAAAATAATAAAATATTTTTTAATTAAAAGTAGGAGTCATTCTAGAACGTGTCCCCTTATTTATCCTTGTCTCCGTTTTTTAAGATATCTAAGTCTAAAGAAAAGTTATTTGTGAAATGACCATGATGTTTTAAACACTATTCAATATAAACATAACATTAAAAAAACCTGTATTTTTTCGTATAGAAAATGCTGCCCTAAAATGTGGAAACCAGTCCAACCGTCAAAACTTAATTCTATAGCCCAATGTCCTTGCTGCATTATGCCATATTCATTTTTGGCATCAAGTTCTCTATTGTGCTAATTATACTCTATTCCAGTTGTCTGACGGCATGACCACTGCAGCTCTCTACAGCAATGGTCGCGCTGTGGGCAGCTCGGCAGTGCAGCACTCGCCAGCTGCAGATTATGTACAGGGCTCTAGGGGGTTCCCGGTACTATAATGCAAATATTTTTTTTTTAAGTAACAGTTGAAAAACTTCCAAAATTATCACAAGTCTTTCTTGTGTTCCTCTGAGCCCTGTCTCCAGTCCAGCTTCCAGAACTGCACTTTCTAAAGCTCACCAAGTGATGAGCACCACTGAGTCTTGTCTCCCTCACTTTATTTACTTTTTAAGGCACTCTATTCAGAAAGGACTCAAAGTTAGACAGGACGACGGTACCTCGCAGTGCTGGCGTGAAGCCTGGACTTCACATTCGTACTTGTTCTTCACAGACTCTAGGCAGAGCTCTCTGTAGATGCCTGCAACAAGCACAGTGATTCTGATTACGTAGGCAGCAAAGAGTCATAGGTATTCTCCTATACGCTGTCTCCACCATAGTATGAGTCAGTCAGAAAGTCACAAACAATTCTAACTTTATCCTTAAAAACAATCAAAACACATATCAAAGAAGATGAGAAAATAAGAGTTAATGAGCTAAGAAATCATAGTTACTTTTTGCTTTGCCTCACACTTCCAAGAACACTCCTAAATGTTTGCTAGAGAATCATCAAAATAAAAAGTACAATCCTTTTCTAATAAAAACAATCCTCAGATTTCTCCTAACAGAAGGGAGACAGACAATAAACTCAGGTTTCATTGGGCATAAAGCAAGAAATGGATATTTTACTCTGCCAAACCACTGTATCCAAACTAGGCTCTTCAGAGTCCAAAGCTTTGAAGGAAGAGAGGCTGAGCAAACTGGTGGAACAAGGCAGCTCATGCTCAGAGCACTCCCGACAGGCAGATGCCCAGGCGCTACTCTCACAGGGAACAAGTAGCGTTATAAAACAGGCAGCAAGGCCACGCCCAGGCGCACATGCAGATGTGACAAGACAGTAACTCTATACATGTATACTCAATGCCGAGCCACAAGTGACCTAGGGACATAATCAGCTGCCCGTTCTGTCAAGGAGGGACCTACGCCATCTGCAACATATAGACCCAAACAATGTCACAAATCAAAGTGCCACTGTCCTACCTGCCACCTTTGTGCGAATCTGCATATTTTCTTGCAAAGTAGCCAGTGGTTCCAAATACTCTGGGGCTTTTCCAGCTATGACTTCTTGGAGTTTCGCATCCACCTGACTCAACCGCTCTTTATAAAGTCTTAACAAAGCAAAAATTAAGACATTAATTAAAAGTTCCCAACCAAGAAGAGCAACTTCCCCCTCATGCATTGTTTACTAATAGAGCTCGTGTTCCAATAACCTATCAAATGTACTCCTGCCTTGATTGCAATCAGAAAACTCACATTATTTGACTTTATATACATCCTAATATTATATTAGCTATAAGTCCAAGGTTTTTTTTAAAATTAGTATAGCTCTTGAGTCACAAAAAAAATATAAAATTCAGGCACTTGTAATCTTATTGTGGAGTAGGCATTTAGGAAGGAGGATACCAAAGGCCAGACTAAAAGGTGAATACTGGGTTTGGAAAAAGCCCTTTCTTCTTGTCTGGAAGATGGAGTTATTGGTGCCCAAAATTATATCATTATATCTTTTGTTTGAGGAGCTCCTCACAGTTTTTTCATTAATGATAGACTCAGGGGCCCAATGACAGGAGTTAGTGTGGATCCTCACCTGAATAGCACACCATACAGAGGCTGTAAAGGCCGGCTCAACATGGCATGGTGCCAGGTACGAGGAACGCTCTCCACATGGCCTAAGACAGGATGCCCTGTGGTCTGCTTACTTTAATCCTGCTAGATACCTTTTATTTGAGGAGCTCCAAGGAACTAATGCTAATCATCTGGCACCCCTCTGTTCCCATGAGAGGTAAAATTGCTTCACCATTCGAGAGGAGGGTCTTACTTGTCCCAGTCCCTTCTCTTTTAAATCTGACACCAGGGTTGACTCTGACTTGGTGCCCTCCACTTAATAACTGCTTGCCTTTATATAAGAGCGGGGGATATGTAACGAGCCATTTCCCCCCTAAAAATTACAGGAACCATCACCCTGGGGAGTCTGCAGAGAACCCCACACCCATAATTATGTTCTATTGAGAAAATCTGCCGCACACCCAATTAACTGTTAATCTGTTAGCGGAACCCGCCTCACACTCCAGCTATCCAGGGAACCAGGTGTGGCAACTTGTGACTTCTTGGCCTACCTCCTGGCCTACGTGATCTGGAACACGCGGCAAGAGTCCAGTTTCCCCACCCTTCAGGGGCTATATAAAATAGCAACCATGACCCTAATAAACAGAGGCTTTGACAAATCTGCTTGGCCTCCTTCTTCTGTCTTAGCTCATTCCCTTCCAGGTAGGGCCCCTCCGAGACCCTGGAATAACTGATTGCAGGGTGGGTTACAAACCCCTAGACTGAGTAACCCACCCAACACAATCGACAATCTTGTCTAACATTGCTAGGGGACGGGAGTGAGGAAAAGAAAATGGGCTGGACAACACAACACAGCAAGAATGTCTCAAAAAAATAAAAGTGGAAAAAAATTTGAAATGACTATTTGGGGACTCCTGATTTTTATTTTAATTGAACAACAATAAATCAATTCTAAAAGAAAAAGTTATTTTAAACACTAAGCTTAAAAGAAATAAGGAAATCATTTTGAATAGTTTGAGTATAGATGATATTCCTGTCAAAGTACGTAAATCCCTGGCTGTTCTCCGCAGTGCCATAGTCACCAGCTTAATTTCTGGTAATGGGAGACAGGTCTCACTAGAAACACTCAAGCTAGTCTAACATTCACTGTGTAGCCCAGGCTAGTCTCCAACTCAGAGGTCTTGTCCCAACCTCCTGGGGGCCAAGATTACAGGTGAAAGTGACTACACATGGCTTCTAGTTAGTGTTTAAAAACAAAGAAGAAAGAGCAATGAGGCGAGGGGGTGATTATAAAGCCCAGAATCTGGGATACATAACTCAACCCAACTAGAAATGAAGAAAGTGAAATAAAATGAGTTAATGGACAAAGAAATGAAAAACGAAAGTTATGCACAGGAAGCACCACACAAGGCTGCTGCAATCCCAGCATTTGGACAATGGAGTTAGAGCCTATAGTGAGCTCTGCAACACCTAGACTACAATGTAAACTACAGAAAAAGGAAAAAGAAGCCTGTTGTGGAGGCTTGCTCTGAGGGATATGCGAAAAAGGTAGAAACACAGGATCACAAGCTGGAAGGCAGCCTGGGCTACACCTTAGGACCAGTAAGACAGTCAGTGGGTAAAGGCATTTGCTTCCTAAACTGATGACCTGAGTTTAATCCCCAGAGCCCACCGAGTAGGAGGAGAGAACTGACTCCTGCCACCTGTCCCCTGATGGGCACCATGGCCCAAGTGCACCCACATGGTAACTAACAACCATCTGTAACTCCAGTCTAGGGGGAATCTCACGTCCTCTTATGGTTGTCACAGGCACTGAACACACATGGTACACAGGCACAAATGTGGGTAAAACACAAATACACATAAAATTTTAAAAAACATAAATAAATACAATATAGAAAATAAACAAATGCTTTGAAAAAGGATGAAATGAAAAATGGGTAGGTACAGGTCTCTATTGTCCCTACTCATGTACACTGTAGAAAAAGGAGAGAGAGTTCAAGTCCCAGTACCCTGTGGTGGCTCACAACCATCCCTAACTCCAGGTCCAGGTGATCCAATGTCCTCTTCTGACCTCTGAGGGCACCAGGCACATATGCAGGTGACTGAGGGTGGTGGAAGAAGTTACTCCACACTACAGAAACTGCAGCGGCTGGGCTGGCTGCTTTATGCAGAACACTACAGCGCCCATGGGCGCCAGAACAGGAGGAGGAGCAGCACCATTGTATCATTCCCTATCTCTTCTGAAGCTTTGAGACACCCTACAGAGATACACAGCATGGCAGGCTAAAAATAGGCAAGACATTTGGAGCAAGATGAAAAAGTAAAGATTTAAAACCCAATGCAAAAAATTGTCTTTTTTCTGATACGCTATTCTACAAATCAATTCCTCAAGAAAGAACATTCCTACGCGATGGTCATGGATCTACTCCTAATACATCCAGAGAAGAACGAAGCTTCGAAGGGGAACTAGTTAGTGGTCACAGTGAACCAGAAGCAATGTGGCCCAAGGTGAACAAGATTGGATTCCATCACTACTTGCAAAGCTGTCCCACATAGGAGAACTTGACGCAGTCTTCCCTTGCTGGGTAGCTCTAAAAACACCTCACAAGATTAACAGGGAAATCTCAATCAACTGCATGAGAATTCTTCATTCATGGGCTACTTCTGCTAAAACACAAAAGCCCAAATTTGGGGCTGGAGAAACATTCCAGTGGTTAAAAGTGAGTGTTTGGTTCTCAGTGGGCTCACAACCACCTGCAGGGAATCCAACTTCTGACCTCCATGAAAATCTGCACACTCATGTGTGCAAATGCATCCCCCAAACACACCCCTGCTCACGCATACACATCATTTAAAATAATTCTTTAAACAAACACACATATATTTGCCTCCTCTCTGCCAGAATGATGCTAAACTCTCTATATTGCCTAAATAGACTTAATCTAATTCTAATACAAAATTAGTAATGGAAATCTTTTTTTTAAAGGGTCTTGCTATGTGGCCTAGGTTTAGCTGGAATGCCACTCCACCTACCTCTACCTCTCAAGTGTTGAAATTGCAGGCATGACAATAAACATGCTACAAAAATTTAAACTGGTAATAAAATATTATACTGCCAGGTGATAGTGGCAACTCGCCTTTAATCCAGAACTCAGAAGATAGAAGCAGGCAGGTCTCTGTGAGTTAGAGGCCAATCTGGTCTACAAAGCAAATTCCAGGACAGCCAGGACTACATAGAAAACCTTTGTCTCAGGGGCTGGAGAGATGGCTCAGCGGTTAAGAGCATTGGCTGTTCTTCCAAAGGTCCTGAGTTCAATTCCCAGCAACCGCATGGTGGCTCACAACCATCTGTAAGGAGGTCTGGTGCCCTCTTCTGGCCTATAGGCATACATGCCAGATAGAATAATGTATACATTATAAATAAATAAATATTTAAAAAAAAGAAAACCTTTGTCTCAAAAAATCAAAAAACGTAGTAAAAAAATTTATATGTATGTATATATACACACATATATATCAAAGCCAAAATAATATACTTTTTAATTTTTAATATGTCAAACTGGCAGGAAATAATATTAATATTCCTCTCTAATACCAATGAAAGTTAAGAGAAGAAATGGAATAAACAGGATTAATATGGTAAACACATTGTCTCACTCTAACATGATAATTCTACTAAATCATCTACTCTATGTCCTCTCAAGCACCCCACCTCACTTCACCACCCCACCACCCTGCACTAACCATGATGGTAGACACTTGCAATCCCAGTACTCAGGAAATGGAGGCAGTAGAATGCCAACTTTGAGGCCAGGCTAGGCAAGATAGCAAGATCCAGTCTCCAATGTCTTAGTTAGGGCTTCTATTGCTGTGATAAACACCATGACCACAAGCAACTTGGGAAGGAAAGGGTTTATTTCATCTTACAGCTTATAGTCCATCATCCAGGAAAATCATGGAAGGGACTCAAGGTATCAACCTGGAGGCAAGAACCAATGCAGAGAGCATGAAAGAGTGCTGCTTACTGGCTTACTTCCCAAGACCTACTCGGCCTCCTTTCTTATACATAACGGGACCACCAACCCAGACACCACCCACCTACAATGGGATGGGTCCCCCCACGTGAATCATCAATCAAGAAAATGCCTTACAGATTTGCCATAGCCCAATCCTATGAGGCATTTCTTGATAAAGGTTCTTTCTTCCAGAACGGAGAGATGGCTCAGTGGTTTAGAGCCCTTGTTGTTTTCCCAGAGGAACTAGATACAATTCCCATCAGCCACATGGTGGCTTACAACCATCTGCAAGTCCAGCTCCAGGAGATCCAATGCCCTCCTCTGGCTTCTATGGCACCAGGCACACATGTGGTATCCATTTGTGTGGCACCAATTTCACAAGAGCTCTGGCATTAACCGGGAAGTGGAGGAACAAATGAAAGTGTGGGGACGCACAAGCGCGCTGGCACCTGCTCGGTAGGCCGAGGCAAACAGTGGAGTGGAGGCTAGCACCAACACTTTGGCAAGATTTTCTCTCAAAATGAAAAACTGGGTTGCTGGTGTAGCTCAGTAAGAGTGCTTACCTAGCACATGCAAGGCCCTGGATTCAATCTCCAGGACTAAAAGCAAAAAGGAAGTCAAGTGGGGAGAAAAGTTGGTATCTCTTAGACACCTAAAACACGCCAAGCAAACGGCAAAGAATTTTACAGATAGCTCCTTGTGGTGGTCTGAATGAGAATGGGCCCTTGGGCTCATATATGGGAAAGCTTAGTCATGAGGGGAGTGACACTACTTAAGAAGGGTTAGGAGTGTGGCCTTGCTGGAGGAAGCAGCACTGGGGGTGGGCCAAGGCAGGCCCAGTGTCAAGCTCTCTTCCTGTTGCCTGTGGATCCAGATGTAGAACTCAACTTCTTCAGCACCATGCCTGCCAGCCTGCCACCATGCTCCCATCATGATGATAATGGACTAACTGAACTATATGCTTTCTTTCTGTCATAGAAGTCACTGTGCTCATGGTGCCTCTTCAGAACAATAGAACACTGACGAAGACACTTCTTAATAACTTCACAGTCGATTGTGAGATCACTAACAGCATTGTTTTTATGTATGGACTGACATTTATTTACATATTAACTTCTGTTGCTGGGCATCAAACAGGGCTTTCTAACCTCTTGTGCTCGGCAAGTTCCATAGCACTAAACTCCCCAGCAACCTTTACATCTGTTAAGACAGCCTAATTTAGCCAGGCGGTGGTGGCACACACCTTTAATCCCAGCACCAAAAAACCGAAAAGAAAAGAAAAGAAAAGAAAAGAAAAGAGGGGAAGGGGAAGGGGAAGGGGAAGGGGAAGGGGAAGGGGAAGGGGAAGGGGAAGGGGAAGGGGAGGGGAGGGGGAGGGGAAGGGGAAGGGGAAGGGGAAGGGGAAGGGGGCATTCAAATCAGCGTCTATGCTCTTCCATTCTATAACAATTCCTCCAAAGATGGAGCCTTTAGGGGAATGCACTTGTAACACTAGAGGCAAAAGCCCTGGCTTTATTTACACTTTTTTTGTTTTTTGTTTTTTGTTTTTTGTTTTCGAGACTGGGTTTCTCTGTGGCTTTGGAGCCTGTCCTGGAACTAGTTCTGTAGACCAGGCTGGTCTTGAACTCACAGAGATCTACCTGCCTCTGCCTCCGGAGTGCTGGGATTAAAGGCGTGTGCCACCACCGCCCGGCTTATTTACACTTTTGATAATGATAAACTATGGGAATTAATAAACTTCTCTGAGCATCAGTTTCTTCATTAGTAAAATGGAAGCCTTACAGAGCTATTACAAGTAAATTAAGTAACACACATGTGAAACAGGTAATATACACATTATTTAATGTTAAGACATAAAATCAAATTAAAACCAAATAGAAAAATAGAGGACAATACTCTACTTTATACTCAAATTTTAAAAATGGTATCTCAGCCTGATGGCACAGAGCTGTAAACCCAGCTATATTGGAGGCTTGGTTAGAAGGATCTTATGATCCTACCTGAGTTATAAAGCGAATTCACAGCCAGCCTGGGCAACTTAGCCAGACACTGCCTCAAAGGAAAAAGGAAAAAGAGGGATGTGGGGCCATAGCTCAGCGGCAGAGCACTCGCTTATCACGGATATGGTTTCATCTCCAGCACCAGAGGGGAAAATCTTCAGCCAATTATTTAACAAAGGAATGAACAATGCAGATTAGCACCAAGTGCACAACAATACAAACAACTGAATCACCAACGCCCACAGGCCAGGCACCTGCTCTATCCCACCCCCAAAAACTCTGTTTGGTTAAGGAGGTCTCCATCGCATTAACAATAACTGAAGCCTCCTTCGGAGCAGATCAGTCTGTTCCCATAAAACACAAAAGGGAACACAGTGGAGACCATGTCATTGCCCTTGTGCTAGTAAAAATGATACCACTGAGACGCAGCGACAAAGACCTTCTGAAGTCGATACTTACTGATCTTTGAGATCTGTAAACTGTTTCTCAAGATTGGACATTTCATCTAAACATTCCATCCTTCTCCTTTCACAATCTTCATCGTCCATCTCTGTTAATTAAAAAAAAAAAACGGAAAATATCAAAGATAAAACTTCAAGGCAGGCCTGGAGGCACACATAGACCTGGATCCCAGCATTTGGGAGGTACAGGCAAGAGGATTAGGAGTTTAAGGCTACCTAAAACTATATGCCACACAGCAAGTTGGAGGCCAGCCTGGGCTACATGAGACCATATATCAAAAAACAAAAAAAAAAGATAAAACTTTCAAATGTATCTGGTTAGTCCAAATAGAAAAAAAAATGTTGTAATATGAAATTGGACATCCAAGGTTTATGTAAACCTTAAAGGAAAATAAACAATTTTTTTCCAAAATAATTACCACTATAGAATTAATTTAATGACAGATTAAAACCCCAGCAGTCTCTAGAGCTTCCAGAATTTATCCACTTTTCAGTCTTCTTAAAAGACTTTAAGAGTTATGTCAATGAAGTTAACTAACCCACCTTTGGTTTTACACTAATTCTTGAGAACTTAGCACCAAAAATGCCTATGCTCATAAAATGTCATTATTCAAAAAACACATCTGGCATCCGTCGCTCCAACTGCGGCGTGTCAGCTGTGCAGTGTATGACTGAGAGGCCAGAAACGATGGAACGTTCAAAGCCAGCCTGGGCTGAAGGGAAAAAAAATCAAAGAAAGAAAAACCAGAACTGGAAAGATGCCTCAGAGGTTGAGCGTGACTTCAGTCCCCAATATCCATGCCATGGCTCACAACTGCCTGTAACTCCAGTTTCAGGGGACCAGATGCCCTCTTCTGACCTCCAAACATGCCATACACATATGTGTTACTTAATTTTTTTTTAAGTCTTAAAAAAAAAATGAAGATGGAGGTAGAGAAGTCACATGGCTGATTATCCCATCACATAAAAAAAAAAGCAACTAATTGCTAGGCAGCATGTGGCACTTAAGAGGCAGAGGCAGGGGCTGGAGAGATGGCTCAGTGGTTAAGAACATTGCCTGCTCTTCCAAAGGTCCTGAGTTCAATTCCCACCAACCACATGGTGGCTCACAGGGTCTGGTGCCCTCTTCTGGCCTACATGCAGACAGAATATTGTAAACATAATAAATAAATATTAAAAAAAAAAAGTCGGGCGGTGGTGGCGCACGCCTTTAATCCCAGTGCTTGGGAGGCAGAGGCAGGCGGATCTCTGTGAGTTTGAGACTAGCCTGGTCTACA